AATGTGAATGTGGTGGGAATGGAAAAATCGTCACAGAAATAGGTAAAGGCCTTACAACCCATCTCCAAGGGAGACTAGGCTATAGATACCCCCCCTTTTTATTGCCAGTACTGGGGCTTGAACTCAGGACCTGGGCACTGTCCCTGAGTTTTTGTGCTCAAGGCTAGCACAGCTCCATTTCTGTGCATGTGTGTGAGTGTGTGTGTGTGTGTGTGTTTAATTGGAAATAAGAGTCTCAAGGACTTTCCTGGCTTCAACTCACAACCCTCAGATCTCAGCCTCGTGAGTAGCTAGGATTAGAGACATGAGCCATTGGTGCCTGGCTCCTTTTTTTAATTTTATTTTTAATTTTTATTGTTTTAGTATCTGTTCTGTAGATCATAAGGCAGAATTTCCTGAAGGTTAGTCTACTTGAGATTGGTTGGCTTAGGAATCTTAAAAAAAAAAAAAAAAAAGTATTCTGAAGTGCATTTGGAATTTCTGGGTTCAATAGAAATGGGCTCCCCAGACCCTCTGGAGGTTTGTGTGCCGCGTGGGTCTCTGGGAGGGGAAGGAAGGCCGCGTTTCTCCTGAGCCTCTGGGGAAAGGTTTCTAAGACCACTACAGAGGAATAGGTAAGGGGCCATGTTGCATAATCTTCAATTAACCAGCAAAACAAAAAGCTAGAACGGAAGTGTGGCTCAAATGGTAGAGCAAAAAAGGCAATGAGCAAGAAGCCCCTGAGTTCAAGACCTTCTACTGGGGGTAGAGAAGTCTCTTGCAGAGGCCTGGGCTCCCTGTTAGAAGAAACATTATTAGCTGATTTTCAATTACCCTGAAATCCAGTGGCAGCCCCCATGATGGTCGTGAGAAAAGCTAGCTAGAAGGTTGCGGTCGTGTTGTTCGCACTGTAACAGACCGAGCCTGTTCAAACTTCACATCTGTCTTTGTTGCTAAAGGATTCTCAACGAGCATTTATCCAGTCTGCACTGTGTGCCTCCACGGCCAAGCATGAGACAGCGGTTCTTATGCTTATAGTCTGAAGGACATAATAATCTCAGGAAAACCCTTAGCTCTTCCTTAGGGGACTTCTCTTATGCCGAAATTTCCAAAAGACCTAGGACTCACAGTTCCCAGGTTGAGAGGGAGTTTTAACTTCCACAGGAAGGAGCAGGACCTGGAATTTTACTCATCTACTACTTGCACTTCTCGTAACCACCACACTGTGGCGCTATTGATTGCTGGTCTCCCACCCTTCCCACCTCCAGTATTGTGACCCCCCCCCCCAGCGGGTGAGCAAGCTCTCTGCAGCTGGCAGCTCCTGTCCAGGCCTCGGCTCAGATGAGGGGCCTCCTCCCTCATCAGGGGTAAGCTCCTGGTGCTTGACTCAGTCATCTTCCCAACCAGAAAACTCCATCCCGGAAAGAACGTCTTCCCAAGGATGGCCAAGAGGATCTAGCCAGAGCAAACGCTGAATGCCATCTCTATAATGTTAGTCTATAACAGGACGTTCCTACAACAGAAATCATAATTGAATAAGATCCCTTTGCCAGGTCAGTGGAAACCTTGTGATCCTTTGATCTGGAGCAAAGCCACTAAGAGAAATACTGGAGAGTGAATGGGAAGTTGGACACAGTTGATTGGCATTTCAGTTTTCATGATTACTAACCATGGGACTTTTAACCTTCGTGCCTCTCTAGTTTCTCACCTGTTACCCAGGGCGATCTTCGCTACCTCACAAGAATACGGTGATACTCGGTGAGATCATCCACACACAGTGTTTGGCACAATGTCTGACATGTCACAAGCAATAAGCTATAGCCATGATTATTATTATTTCACTGCAGTGTTTGTTATTGACTGCTCCATACCAGGAGGTGTTTCGGTACCTGGAAGGGCCTGGGTAAATTACTCAATGGATATCATGCCTTAACAGGCAGGCTGCCATGTGTCACTCAGCCTCTGGCGTGGGGTAGAGGATGTATGATAGAGAAGACTGTGACCCCTGAAGGTGTGTCCTTATCTCATTCTATGGCAAGGCGATCTGTTCCAGCCATGAAGGTCCACTGGCTAGCGGGGCACCTGTGGCTCACACCTGTAATCCTAGCTACTCAGGAGGCTGAGATCTGAGGATCACTGTTCAAAGCCAGCCTGGGCCGGAAAGTCTGTGAGACTCTTATTGCCAATAAACTACTCAGAAAAAGCCAGAAGTGGAGCTGTGGCTCAAGTAGTGGAGCTCTAGCCTTGAGCAAACGAAGCTCAATCAGGGACAGTGCCCAGGCCCTGAGTTCAAGCCCTAGAACCTACACACACACACACACACACACACACGCACGCACGCACGCACGCACGCACGCACGCACTCACGCACACACCCCTAAACCCATCTACCCTTCTGCAAGATTTCTTGTGTGAGTCACTTTCCTGAATACTCTGATGACAAATGTCAGTGATGTAGCTATTTATTTAAAAATAAAATGGCTCTGAATATTAAATCAAGGAGCAAAATCAACGAATTGATTAGAGTTGTCTGACCTCTCCCAGATCAAACTTGAACAGTTAACTATGAACAGACAGGGATCAAGCTAAGCAAGGTACAGTCTGGATCCTGAGCACCCTTTCTGTGCCTTGCTGAGTGAGGAGCCAAGGCCTAGCGCTGCCCTCTATGCGCACACTCAGAATGAAGGCAGAGTGCCTGGCTCTGACCACCTGGATGAGGAGTGTGCCAACTCAGCCAGTGGTAGTGAGCTGGATGTGAGTGTTTGCTGTAGACGGCAGGTATGGCGAAGGTGAGAGATGGACAGAGAACCCATGATCAAAGTCAGCATCCACCAGGGTAGGAGTCAGGAATGGTATCAGAGGAGACTGACCTGGTGGAGCGGAAGGTCTGTTTTCTAGAACCTTCCCTTTTAAACCAATGGAGAGCCTTGGAATGCCACTGGGTAGGGAAGAAACATAGGAATTGGTCTCCAGGTTGCCTTTGCTGTTCTTTGAGAAGAGAAGCCAGACTCCACAATAGCCTTGACTCTTTCTTTGTTGTCTCCGTCAGTATGGAGGACAAAGCCGGCGGGGGCAGGTTCAGGGCCTGCTAAAAAGGACCAAAGTTGGGAGGTCTCAGGAGACATTGGAAAGTTGGAGTTGGCCGCTCATCTCCCTGGTGGGAGGGGGACAGGGCCCCTCCTACCGTGTGGTGAAGCAGTCCCACTGGTAGGCCTCCCCGGCTCTGCTCATTAGCATGGGATGCAACCTTGCTAACTCACTCAGTAAACCCGAGCCTCTTCCACCAAGCAGAGGATAACAGAGGATAATAATAGGGTGGTGTGGCGTGTAGTGTGCAAAGGTGGCATTTAGGGACACTGTGGGCACACACAAGAGGGGGCGCAGGATCAGAGAGGCTTCCTAGAAGAAACGACACTTAACTGGGATCTGTTAACCACAGTGAGGAGGCTTGGCGGCACTTAGGCTCAACACAGACCAATTATTTCTGAAATAACAGCTTCCCCAAACCTGGGAAAGGTTGCGTGTAATTAAGCCCCACCCTGACAAGCCCAGCTTTCTGCCTAATCTCGCGCAGTAATTCAACAAGGATTTGTGGAGCATCTATTATATGCCAGGGGCTAGAATGGGTTCTGGACAAATACCGGTAATAGAGAGCTGTGCGAAGCGCCCCAGAGAATGGTAGAGTGGAAGTGAGGTGGAACATTCTGGACCCATGTGGGCAAGCAAGGGGTGGCTGATTGTCACTGCCAGCAGGAGGGCTTTTAAAGTGTTAACCATACTTGTTTGTTTTGCAATCAAATTTCCTAGCTGGGTGCTGGTGGCTCACACCTGTAATCCTGGCTACTCAGAAGGCTGAGATCTGAGAGCTGGGATTTGAAGCCAGTTGGGACAGGAAAATACCTGAGATTCTCTCTGTTTTTTTGCCAGTCCTGGAGCTTGAACTCAGGGCCGGGGCACCGTCCCTGAGCTTCTTTTTCTCAAGGCTAGCACTCTACCACTTGCACTTCAGCACCACTTCTGGCTTTTTCTATGTATGTGGTACTGAGTAACTGAACCCAGGGCTTTCCTGCATGCTAGGCAAGCACTCTACCCTAAACTACATTCCCAGCCCTCCCTGAGACTCTTACCTCCAATTAGCAAACAAAAAAACTAGAAGTGGAAGTGTGGTTCAAGTGGTAGAGCACCAGCGTTGAGTGTGACAAAGCCAAATAAGAGCAGGAGGCCCTGCCTTCCAGTTCTAGTAAGGACACACACACCAAAGATCCATTTCCTTCAACAAAGGTGAGGCCCTGGCTTAACCTGCGGTGATTGCTGTCTCGGGAAGCACTTTTGGAGGTATAGCTCTGGAAGCCATCAGCTCCATTCCCCAGGGAGGTGACAGCAGTGGACATTTTTATACTTGATCTCACGAAGGAAAAAACAAAACTGGGAAGAAATGGCTGGGCATTTCATCAGCCAGGACAGGAAAGGAAGTGTTTTAGGGATAGATTTGAATGTTATCAATTTATAATCTGCTGTAGAAGACATGTTCAAAGTCTCCATACATAAACGCCCCACATCAAAATGGTCACCGGTTATTAAGGCCTGGGCACAAGATTTGAACTGATCTCAACTTCTCCTAAAGCCTCCCCGACTCCCTGTGAGCGCCACACAGGCCTGTTCTCACCAGGATTCATTCATATTCTCTCTTTCTAGAAACACTCCCAGGGCCCCCTCCGCTGGGCCCGCACGCTTTGGACAGCAGCCAGCAGTGTGACCCACGGACAGCCTGAGGACCCCAAAGGCCGAGAAAGAACCAGAGCCAGTCGCTGGGGGAGGCCGGGGCATGGAGGCCCCGGGCTAGCGTCCGGGCCTGCTGGGCTGCGGGAGGAGGCTGGGGGGGGAGGCGTAGGTGGGGAGGACGCACACGGGTCCGCGACTATGCCTGGCTCTAGTGAATCCCCCCCCAGAAGCCATCTCCAAAGGCACCAGGGAACCCTCGGCCGGTCTCGGCGCCCCGGAGCTGTCCCCGCCGCCCGGCCATGAGCCACGGCTTCTGCAGAGCGCGCGCGGAGCGGACGCCCGCGGGGCCGCCCGGCGGGACGCAGCCCGGCCGCTCGGCCGCGCCCCCCGGGCCGGCGCCCCCGCCCGCCGCCGAGGCCCTGCGCGGCGCCGGGCCCTTCCTGCTGTACCCGGGCGCCGCCGACCCCTACGCGGGGGTGTTCCCGTGCCTGCCCTTCCCCGGCGCCCTCGGGGTCTACGACGGCCCCTTCGAGCCCGCCTTCATCCAGAAGCGCAACGAGCGCGAGCGGCAGCGCGTCCGGTGCGTGAACGCGGGCTACGCGCGCCTCCGCGGCCACCTGCCCGGCGCGCGGGCCGACAAGCGGCTCAGCAAGGTGGAGACGCTGCGCGCCGCCATCCGCTACATCAAGCACCTGCAGGGGCTGCTGGGCGCCGCCCCCGACGGCGCCGCCCCCGCCGGCGCCCCGGAGCCCGGCCCCGCCGCCGCCTGCGTCTCCCCTCCGTCCTTGGAGTCGGAGGAATCGGGACCCTGACGGGGCTTGCGGACCCCCGGGGGGGCCGGGAGGGGAGCACTCAGGGGATCGAAGCCCCTGTCTGGTTCACGCGAGCAGCACGCGGGCTGCTGGTCAGACCCGAGACACCGCGGAGGGCCGCGGGGCGCCAGCGTGCTGGGGTCCCCCCAGGAACCCTGGGCGCTTCCATATGAGCTGATCCTCCCCACCCCGTCTTCTGTGCAGGAGCTGGGGGGCAACCCAGAACCCAGATCTGACTTCACCCCACCCCGGGCTGGCTCCACCCCCGGGCTGCTCCACCCCTCGGGCTGGCTCCACCCCTCGGGCTGGCTCCACCCCTCGGGCTGGCTCCACCCCCCGCTGGCTCCACCCCTCGGGCTAGCTTCAACCCCAGGCTGCTCCACCCCCCCCGCTGGCTCCACCCATCAGGCTGGCTCCACCCCCCGGGCTGCTCCACCCCTCGGGCTGGCTCCACCCCCAGGCTGCTCCACCCCTCAGGCTAGCTTCAACCCCAGGCTGCTCCACCCCCCCCGCTGGCTCCACCCATCAGGCTGGCTCCACCCCCCCGGGCTGCTCCACCTCCCGGGCTGGCTCCACCCCCCAGGCTGCTCCACCCCTCAGGCTGGCTCCACCCCTGGTCTGGCTCCACCCCCAGGCTGCTCCACCCCTCGGGCTAGCTTCAACCCCAGGCTGCTCCACCCCCCCCGCTGGCTCCACCCATCAGGCTGGCTCCACCCCCCGGGCTGCTCCACCTCCCGGGCTGGCTCCACCCCCCAGGCTGCTCCACCCCTCAGGCTGGCTCCACCCCTGGTCTGGCTCCACCCCCAGGCTGCTCCACCCCTTGGTCTGGCTCCACCTCCCGGGCTGCTCCACCCCCCCTGGCTGCTCCACCCCCGGGCTGGCTCCACGCCCCGGGGCTGGCTGCCTGCTCTGCCTCAGACCTGCGCTGGGGAAAGTTGGAGCTCAGCTTCTGCTCTGTCCTCGCCGGGGTCCATGCAGTCCTGTCCCGGGGTCCCCTGGAGGCCAATCGCACTTGGATTCTGGAATAATAGCGAAGACGGCTGCAGCCTGTCCTGGATGACCCCACTCCCCTTCCCTCTGTCTTCCGTGGGGCCTCCTGAGATTTTTTCCCAGTTGGGTGAGGGCTGTCCTTTTATTTTATTTTTATTATTTTTTGTCCTGGGGATTGAACTCAGGGTGTCACAGCTAAGCACCCACTCTTACCACTGGAACCACGCCCCAACCCCTTTTGCATTGGTTGTTTTTGAGGACGGGTAGCGCCCAGCCTGGCAGGCCTGGGCTTCAGTCATCCTATTTGTGCTTCCTGGTGTGGTAGCCCTTGATCGAGAGGGAGTCTCCCCAGCATTTCCCCTGGGCTGATTCTCCGAATCTCTCTAGCTAGGCTTGAGCCACTGCCTGGCTAGGTTTGCATTTTTATTTTTGTTTTCTCTTCTTTGGTCCTGGGACTTGAACTCAGGGCCTGGGCACTGTCCTTCAGCTTTTTTGCTCATGGCTAGTGCTCTACCACTTGAGCCACAAGCTCCACTTCTGGTTTTTTGCTAGTTAACTGGCGATAAGCATCTCATGGACTTTCCTGCCCTGCTAGCTTTGAATTGCTCTCCTCAGATTTACATTTCTTTTTAACCCTGAGCCCCGCAAGCCTCTGAGGTCCATTTGCTGTGTGTTTTTACAAAGGACTAAGTAAAAGGATTGTTGAGTCTTATGCTTCCTAGAGCCTCAGCTTCCACACACCAGGGCACGCATGTGAAGCACTGCTTGCAGTCATGCATTCTGTTAACATTCCGTGTTTGTTCAATGTTTGTGGGTGGTTCCATGTTTGAGGGCAGGCCTGGCCAGGGGCAAGGCGGGGAGGGGTGAGGGCAAGAGGAAGCTCAATCTGATCCCTGCAGTTCTGAAATGGGAGGGAAGGGTGATGGACTGAGCTGGGACATCCACCACCTCCTCCAAGACCATGTCAATCATCCATTGGGCCCAGGGGAAATAATCTCCATGTGAAAAAGATTCTGAAGTAAGAGTGTCATTGCCATAGGCTCAGCCTTCCCCAACTTCTTGCTCCAGCCTAGAAAACTTCTATCCTGTCTCCCACTGCCCCAGCCCCATCTCAGGCCTGGGTGTAGCCTCCTCCTCCCCTCACCCCCCAGTCCTCCTGGGGGACAGATTGGCATGGCTGGGCTGGGCTGGAAGGAATGACAGCTGCCTGGCTTGGGAGCGCAGGCCGGGCTGTGGAGGGGAGTGGAAGCTAATTTTACTCACTGGGAGCAGGGACAGTAATCCTCGGGCCCCACCCCCGCCCTGCCTGGCCACCTCAGCAGGACAGGCTCAGCCAGGCCCAGTCCCCAAGCCGGGGACATTGGGGACAGACAGGGAGGCCGTGAGGTGGGGGAGCAGGGGAGATCGTGGTTGCCAGGGAAGCCATGGAGCCAGCCTCACCCCAAGATGAGGGTCTGAAGAAGAAACAGTCCAAGAAACCAGTGCCCGAGCTCCTGCCAAGGCCCCCCCGCGCCCTGTTCTGCCTGACCCTCCAGAACCCCTTGAGGAAGGCCTGCATCAGCATCGTGGAATGGAAGTATCCTTCAGGCTGGGGCGGGGAAGGGGGGAGGGAAGGAGGAGCGGGGAGAGGGGGTCATGCACGGGCTTCCAGAGTCCGTGTCCCTGGGCTCTTGGAATAGGATGCACTGCTCCAGAGCAGCATGAGGAAGGAAGGAGGTGTCCATGACACTGGTGACAGGATGTGGAGGGGCTTCCTGGGGTCTGGACAGCAGCCAGGGAGAGTGCAGATGGTGTGCAGCAGGGGCTTGGGTTCGTGGGGCCTGTGTCCTCACCACTGCTTGGGGTTTGGAAGCAATGCCTTATTGTGGGATACATGGGGGAAAGAAGCGACAGCCCTTTGGAGAAAGATCTCCCCTTGAATGGGAAGGGTGAGAGTAACGAGTGGCAGTTGAATAAACCATTGGCTGGACGGAGCTGGACGGGGAGGAGACGCTGGCTGAGGGCAGGCCAGCTCGGCTTGGCTTCGTGCCACAAGGGAGCAAATCTGGCTCTTTGAGCTGCTGTGCCATTCCCCTCTGTTTGCTGAGCTCTGGGAGGAAGAATGTTGAAAATATCAGGGTTCTTGGGGGCAAGGAGAGGGGGAAGAAGTTACAGAGAGAAGAGGGAGGCTTGTGTCTGAGAGACAAGAATGAAATATTTCTACAGGGCGGTGGAAGCGTGGGCTCTTGCCAGTTGTTCCTTGGAAGAGAGGAAACAAGGGATAGTGGGAAGGAGACCACATGGCGACTGCGGGGTGGGGATCAGCTCTGAGCTCCACACAGTGGGGTGCTAGGCCGCATCATCTAGGGGTTCTCCCTCCTCCCTCGCTGTCCTGCTGCTTTCAGAGTGGGGTTTGCCGGTGGCTTTTCCCCTTCTCCCCATTCTTTGCTGCTCAGAGCGGTCTCCTCCCACAGCCTCTGCCTGCGGCCTCCCTTTCCCCTTTCTACTTGGAGGCTGCTGGGAAGGGAAAGGAATTTTCCCACCCTGCCCATCTACCTAGCACACCTTCTCCCCAGGCTGCATGTGGGGTTTCCCACGGCCCCCTCTGCTGCTCTCCCTAAATCTTCCCACTCGCTTGCTCTCTGGAAATAGCTGAGGAGGAAGAGTGGTTTAAGCCGGTACCCGCAGTGTGTCCACAACGTTCTGAAAATTCAACCTGTACCTCTCCGTCAGCCCTTCTTCCTGGGCCCAGGTTGGGAATGTAGCATACGACCCCACCAGCCCTGCCCTGTGGCTGAGCCCTGGTAGGTCTTACCCCAAAGCCAGGATTCCTCGGGCTAGGTCTGGGCAGGCCCTGAGAGAGAGGAGCAGCAAGATCTTCAAGCTGAATAGCCATGAGCCAGGCACCTGCCCTTTGTGGCTCCATGAGTCTAAGAGGAAGAGAGGAATACTGGGGCCCTGGGCTGGAATTTGTGGGAAAGTTGGGAAGGAACATCCCCATGTCTGCTTGTCCCGGATTGCAGTCACAATCCAGGCTGGTCCCCTCTTCCCCTCAACCTCACTACACACCTCGTACGCCTCACAGCTCAGCCAAAGGCTCTCCCTAACCCCAGCACCAGACCCTTCGAGACCATCATCTTGCTCACCATTTTTGCCAACTGCGTGGCCCTGGCCGTGTACCTGCCGATGCCTGAAGATGACAACAACGCTCTGAACCTCGGCCTGGTAAGATAGGTCCTCCCGGCCCTCTTGAGTCTCTATGGTGCTGGGCAATGTCCAGGTCCTTAAGGATGCATACATATCCTGTGCAGGGCTGCTGAGTGGCTCCACCGTTGTCAGGGGCAAGCCCATACTTAGCATAGAGCCAATCCTCACTGTGCCCAAGCACCATAGAGGAGTGAAGTTAGGGAGTCCTTCCAGCCCCCACAAAGAAGTCTCACTCAACAGATGGGGAAACTGAGCCCCAGTAAGGTCAACAGTGAGCAAGGGTTGAATGCTAATTTCCTTCCCTTGCATATAATCCAAGGCCCCTCGTGTCACTGTGGAAATCTGCAGAAAGAATGTGTTTTAGAGAGTGGTAATGCCATACTACCGCCATCTCTCCTTACTCCTTTGCCAAGAATGCCAGCCCGGAACCATCCAGTACCAGAGCTACAAAGTTGGCTGGTCCTACCTCACCTTGCACCTGGGCAAATTGCTTTTGCTGCACCAGAGTTTGAGCTCCAGGTTGCTTGCTCAGCTGGTGTTCTGCTGCTTGGGCCATGCCTCCAGCCTGGCCTCTTTGCTGGCTATTTTGAAGATGCAGTCTTGTGGCTTTGAACTTCAGTCCTCTGGATCTCAATCTCAGAGGTGTGAGCCACTGGTGCCTGCCTGGCTTCACCCTGCTTTCTACAGTAGAAAACGGAGGCCCAGAGAAGTTAAGGAACTTACCTAGCCAATAGTAAGCTGATGATAGAATTATTATGCTTAATAATTTGTAATAATGCTATTTAGTAAGTGCTTGTTAGCTACCAGATTCTGTGCCAAACATAGTTTGTTTTACTGTATTATCAAATGCTATGACTACCCCTATGGCATAAGTAACATTATTAGACACACTTAAAAGGCAGGTAAACTGAGGTTTGGAGAAGTTTTGACACCTTGCCCAGGGTCACCTCTACCCACACGTCATCTTACATTAGAGTCGCACCTGGGTCTCTACCAGCTGGGTCACCAAGGCCTGGAAGCATGGAGGCTTCTAGAGGAAGGCCTCCTAGAAACACTGGGTTAGGGATGTGGCTCTGTGATAATGCACTTGTCTTAACATGCTCAAGGCCTTGGGTTTGATTCTCAGCTTCACAGAAGCAATGAATTCCAGGACAGAGTAACCCTCATTTCAGCAGGTCTTTCCCCTGCCCTGAAACCCAGGGATCAGATGGGAAGAGGCCCGTCAGAGAGGCTCCTGGGCTAGAAATAATGGTGGTTTTTCTCTGTCTTCATGCTGGTTTCCATGGCAATCTGTCTTGCGCTGAGGAGACACTGGGCTTCTGCATGTATGGCTTTCTGTGAGTGGAAAGGTGAACTCCCAGGCAGGGCAGAAGGCGGGAGGGCCTCACAAGCACAGGGTCACTGTGGCCAGTGCTGGCAGGAGTCAAGGGTTTTTGGTTCTCTGAGTTAGCAAAAGAATTCATGAAGACAGCGGGGAGAAGGGAGAGGGAAAGAGAGTATGAAGGATGAATAATATCAAAATAATTCATCTGTGGATGAAGATGGCATAAAAAATTCACCAAAAGCTGGGCACCAGTGGCTCACACCTGTAATCCTAGCTACTCAGGAGGCTGAGTGAGACCTAAGGATTGTGGTTTAATGCCAACTGGGACTGGTTCTAAGACTCTTCTCTCCAATTAACTACCCAAAGCTGGAAATGGAGTTGTGGCTCAAGTGGTAGAGCACTAGCCTAGGTACAGTGCCCAGGTTGAGTTCAAGCCTTAGTACAAAGACACAGAGAGAGAGACAGAGACAGAGACAGAGACAGACAGAGACAGAGAGACAGAGACAGAGACAGATAGAGACAGAGACAGAGAGAGACAGGGAGACGGAGAGAGAGAGAGGGAGGGAGGGAGGGAGAAGTCGAAACCAAGTAGACATTCTTTCCATCCTCAGAAAGCTTAATTAAGGAAATCAATTAAATACGTGATTGTAATGAAACTACTTGCACAGAAGTAGCCGTGTGTGAGCTTGGAGACACTGGTGGCCACTGGAGAAATGAACTGACTCAGGCCAGGAAGCGTCGTGAAGGAGGGATGTTAAGCTGACATCTAAGGGAGAGGGCAGGGCCAGCTTCACGGCATGTGACCCGTGCCAGGTCCCGGCTTTCGCTTCAGTGCTCCGGTCTTGGCACTGAAATGTTCACTCATTTTATGTGTGAGTTTGTCTTTTATAAGCAAAGCTCACCGGGACGATGCCACGCACACTGCAAGCTTGGAGGCTTGGCTCATACCCATTCTCACCTGCTGCTCCTTCCTCACCCTCTCGTGCCCCGGACCCTGAGTACAGCAATAGGGAATGCTGGGGCTGGTAGATGAGCCCTTTGTTTTGTTCTGGGGCTGGTACTGGGGCTTGAACTCAGGGCCTTTGGCTCATGCTTGGTTTTCCTCTCAAATCTGGTGTCCTATAAGCCCGGGGAAGGCAGGGCTGTGGCTGGGTTCACCACGGGCCAGGCTGGGCTATCCTATGATCCATTCAGTGGGAAGCTGTGCAAAACAGAGCCTCTAAGGCCCAGGCTCCACCCAGGAACTCCATGGCTCCTGGAATGGAGGTTATCAGGCCCCTGGGTTTTACCTGTCCATGGTGGGTAGCCAGCCCCAGGCCTGTGTTTTCTGACCAGGGCACAGGAGGCAGGCTGTCAGATGGTGAAGGGGGTGGACGCAGGTGTCCGTGGGGGTCTGTTCTTACCTCACAGATGCCCCTGGGGTCAGCTCTTACTCTACAGGTACCCTTGAGAGTCTTTTCATGTCTGTGAATGCTCAGTTGGCAATTAGACCATGCCATGACAGGTGAAGAAAGCAAAAGCCTTTCCTTTATCAGCACAGATTTCTACTTCTGGAAGAAAGGGCCCCTGTTTTCATTTGCACTGCCTCTCCCCCATGGTGCAGCGGGTCCTGGGTGAGGGGTGAGGATCTGCATGCTGGTTGCCAAAGTCAGGTGGGAAGAGGGTCCTGGATGGGAGAGCCAGATGGGCCAAGGGCTGGTGATGAGGCACAGTGCAGATCAGGGATGGGAATGAGACAGGGCAGGGACAGGGACAGGAGGCTCCGGAAGCCATCCTGACAGGAGCTGGAGTAAAGGCACTGGAGACAGAGATGGATAGGAGGGCGGTGATGAGAGCCATAGGAGGTGAGGCCCAGGGTGACTTGGCGGCTGCATGGGAGGGTGGGAGCCGATCGCGGCAGAGATAAGCAGAGGCAAGGATGGCACTTGGGTCCAGAGTGGGGGCCAGAGCTGATGATGATGTTGCTTTAGCAAGGAGTAGCCCAGGGGGCCCAACAGATAAGCCGGGATAGTGGAGGCCAGGGGAGGAGGCCACTGGGACTCCTTGTCAGACTTTGTTTGTGACTGCAGGAGGAGGGAACAGAGCCTGTGCTGTCCTGGGAACGGCAGTGAGACAGCCAAGGGAAGCTGGAAGCTAGGCCTAGAACCCAAGGCCGGACTCCCAGCTCAGCCCCAGACTCACACCCGGCCTGCTCCCCAAATCTAAGGGGGAGGTGTCCGATGCCGAAGACTTTCTGCTTGGATTAGATGAGATCCTTTGCGAAGGCTAACATCCCAGTCTTGGCCAATGTTGGGGAGTCTATGTAAATCAGCAGAAATAATTAGATACTGATTTGGGGCACAGAATAGACATGGAGTTGCCATTGCTCAATGATCTCCTATCCTCAAAGCAATCTGGTATCTTTTCAAAAAGATAAAATGTAAGCCAGGAGCTGGTGGTAGCTCACACATGTAATCCTAACTTCCTCAGGAGGCTGAGATCGGAGGGTCCAAGTTCAAAGCCAGCCTGGATAGAAAAGTTCATGAGATTCTTATCTCCAAATAGCCAGCAAAAAGGCAGAAGGAGAGCTGTGGGATCCAGTGGTAGAGCACCAGCCTTGAGCAACAAAAGCTCAGTAACAACGCTGAGTTCAACCCACAGTACTGGCACACACGTATACACACCAAAAAAAAAAAAAAAAGGTGAAAATGTAATCTGGAAGTGGCGCTGTGACTCAAGCAGTAGCGCGCTGGCCTTGAGCTGAAGAGCTGAAGGACAGTGCCCAAGCCCCACGACCCACAAAAAAAAGAAAGAAAAGAAAAAAGAAAATGTAATCAGTTAAATAAAATACAGGAAAAATGATTGTCAACGCAACTTGTAAGAGAAGGTGCAGTCAGTTCTCTGGCCCAGATAAGTGAAGGAAGACAAGTCATCTGATGAACCTGCATGGCCACAAGGCCTAAGCACATTAGGAGCTGTCTTTGAGGCAGACTGAAGCCATCTCTACAAGACCCAAGAGGGAGAGTTCAAGGTACATCTGCCAGCTTCACAGGGCAGGGGCAGGCAGAGGACTTCAGCCCATCAAGAAACATTTAGCGATGTCTGGAATCACAGGGTTGGGGGTAGGGACAATGCTCTGGTATCTGGTGGGTAGAGCCAGGGACCTGCGAAAGTCCTGCCCTACACCAGACATCCCCTCACCCGATGCAGAATTACCTGGCATTGAAGGTGGAGCTGTGGCTCAAGTGGTAGAGTGCTAGCTTTGAGCACAAAAGCTCAAGGCCCTGAATACAAGCCCTAGAACTAGCACACAAAAAAATAAAAGAGAGAAGGAAGGAAGAGGGGCTGGGAAGGTGGCTCAGTGGTAGAGTGCTTGCCTTGCATGCATGAGGCCCTGGGTTCAATTCCTCAGCACCTCATAAGCAGAAAAAGCCAGAAGTGGCACTGTGGTTCAAGTGGTAGAGCGCTAGCCTTGAGCTGAAGAGCTGAGGGACAGTGCCCAGACCCAGGCCCCATGACCAAAAACAAAGGGAGGGGGAAAGGAAGAAATGAGCAAGCAAGCAAGCAAGCAAGCAAGCAAGCAAGAAAGAAAGAAGCCAGAATTATCTGACCCAGGTATCCACTCCAGCTAAGTGTGAGAAAATGTCCTATCATGGTATTACAAAGATACACACTTTCCCTTTGCCTTGTGTCCACATTCTAGATTTTTCTCCAG